CCATTAGGTCCAGCGACGCCATTGGCACACGCTTAAAATGACGTTTTGACTGTTTCTCCGATAACTACAAGCCACTACTTGCCCTCAATTGTGCGTCAACGTCCTGCGTGAACGTCAAATCGATGTATAACTCTCAAACAGGGACGATATCGACTAAACGTCAAGCGTAAAGGCGGACGCATAACTTTTCCAATTAAACAACCATTTAATTGGAAACAGTATAAAACTTAACCAATTAAACAGCATTCAAGCCAACGAAAAGTAAATTCCTCTCGAACGCTACAGCTCTATAGGTGGCAAAGCGCGATGGCACCCCAAGCGATGAACTTAAGCCTCTACGCGACAACGAAGTACGCGTCCGTTAATTTTCGCTGCAACATTCGTTGACTAATCGAGTGTCTACTAATTTGTAGGAAAGAGAATTTCAACAATATATTGAATTAATTTGCAATTAAATGCGTTGCCTGATATTGAATTGAAGAGCTAGAACATTGTCCAGTTAACGAGCTCTAATACGTATAAGCAGAACCGGCCTAAAAAAGGCCAGGGCAAAAGTAATTGCGATAACGCCATTGATAACGAGCGACACCGCCGCCGCTGTTGCGGGCAGCGGAACGGGGCGTGTCGCCCCGTTCCGTTGTCCGCATCATCACTGTGTACACAAACGAAAATGTCAAAGTTGGTTTAATGACGCAATGACACAAATTGTAAATGTTTTTATCAGATCAACGGGAAAAATCAATTTTATCAATATATCGGTTTTCAATCGTTTATATATATATATATATATATATATATATAGCGTTCGAAAAGACGGAAAATGGCGGGCGTGCTGATGCGCAGTTAACAACAGTAGTAATGTAAAAGGGACTTGCTAGCCTAAACTGTGTTAATGACAAGTAGAAAAACGTATCCCTTAAAAAGATTCCATGATCATATGTTGTCTTCAGTAAAAACGCAGTCTATCAAAAGTACCAGCCATCTAGGGCCATAGCTGAGCTTATTTGATCTACCGCTAGGTTATTCCCCCCCTCCGCCAGGGGCATGTCAAGTTAAAAAAAATTTAGAGACACTGGTACTTCTCGAAGTGTCTGCGTGTCGACTCCTGATCGCATTGGGTTGGGGTTATGGGGTCAGTCCGAATGACAGCTATGAAAGTCTTCCTTCTCTCTACACCAGACAAGCTAACAGGTAACTATACTTCCAAATTAATTAGGACATCTTCTGGTAGATTAGTTAGAAATTAGCTTGATGGAAATTGCTGTCGAATAACTACTGTCAAGTTAGTTTTGCTTGCCAAAAGCAAGCTACTTGTAGCACGTTATACGAATTTGGTACCAAACGCAATAATTGCCCATGTGTAAGATTTCCAAAAACCAAGACCATTTACTAAAAAAGTTCGTAGAACTGCATTAAATAGTAGATCCATGAAGAACATCTTCACGTATTTTCTAGAACACTTTTCTGCAAAGTCTCTTTTATCTACATGCTGTGCTGTGCCTCAAGTAACGACCGGGCGTCTGTCTGTTTTTGAAATGTACAGAGTCAAACCTCTCCATCAGAAACTTTTCATTGCTCTAATGCATTGTTGGATTGCTAAATATAAAATTGCCATGCGTTTACTCTCTTTAGTTTCCACAGTTTGTATACGCCGCAATTTAGCCGTTGTCTATTTTTGTAAGGTAGATATCTGGTTTTCGAGACCAATGCATTATGTACAAATGCATCTTCGCTTCCTTCTGCCGCGAGGCTTTGATTGAATTCGATACTTCTTCAATCAGTCAGACTGACGATAGCTAGACTCGTCTGCAAAGAGCGGGCCCGAGATCGCTGGCTAGACTCTGTCTCGTGAGCGATTCCGCCAAATAGCAATGACCAACGTAACATCGATCGCGTGAGAGATATGGTCCACTCACCAGTAGAACAAGGAATTAATGCTAAGTAGGGACGCTACAAGAATGCAGAGAACAATAATGAAAGAAGACCTCTGAGCGATAAAGTAATTGATAATACCTGAATTGTGGGTTGGTCAGCTCTCAGCCAGTTGCTATCTATGACTTCTTCTCCGCAGCGTCTGAAGCTGCTGTAAGTGAGCCGATGATCGGATAGTATGCAAATGAAGTCCATTCGTCATATCTTACGCTCGACCTCTGATCCAATCTTGGCCAGTGATCAATTCAGGATAGATGCAAGAACGGAAAAAGCAAGAATTTGCTGGAAAAGCAGTACCGAAAAAAGTAGATGAACCGTTCACCGGGCACCAGCATCGATCAGGCTAGAAATGGAAGAGGAGCAAGCACGGTGATGGGTCGCTGCGGAAAGCCTTTTCAAGAAGCACAAAATTGTGGCCTATCCTTTTGTACTTTTCAAGGATTTGGTACGGGTCCGCCTGAAACGACTGAATGCCTTGATTCTAATCATCGACTTACTCTGTCTATCAGCTTTACTCTATTGATTAAAGATCATCTGTTGGCTAACCATTACTTAGTTATCTTCTATCTAACTAGATGGCACATAATCGGGTAATACGGTTCTGCGTAACGTGCATATCGGCTGGAGCATTTTTTGAAGATAAACAGCAAATTCAGCCCTCGTCCATTTCCAGTGCGGTTCTTTCATGTTATACTATAAGAGTTATGCTTCATTGCGTGCCCTAACGTAAGCCTTGCGCATTTAGAGTTGAAGCTTTATGCATTTTTTGATGCGCGACCCTAAAAAACTATCGACTCTGTGTCATATACGTTTCAACGGCCCCAATGCACGTCGCTCCCTATTTTCTGGAGGCCTCATTCTCTCCTACGAAACTGAGAACCAACAAGAAGATCCTGAAAGCAAACTTTCCGGCCCTTCCGCTCCTGCGCAATACCTTGTATATAGATGATTCACGATTGAAGGCGAAGGTACGATTAGCGGTGAGTTCAAATGGAAAAACACCACAAATTATAAGATAAACATACAATGCAAAAGGTGCTTTATTTAATCGAATAACTGTCACGGAACTTCGATGCTACGTTTTACGCGAGTACCCTCGGTACTGACTGGTAGAGTTGAGCCTTATCGGGCAAACAGACCGGATGAGTGTAACCTTCGCCGCCAGTGTTAATATATTGCCAAATACTGGAAATGGTCAAATAGCAAAAGTTGTACCTACCGTAAGAAAACATAGAACAGGATAACAGCAGTTACAGACACCTTACGGATCGAATGCTGCAGTCTGGCCTTGTTCTAAGCATCCGTAGGGGTACACGGTACTCTGAATGAGAAAAATGAAAAATGTTCGCAAACGTGGCGAAAAGACAACACAGTCCAATGGAAATAAGCATACAAACTTTGACTCGGTACTAGCTTCACCGGTGCATCTGCTACGGCCGTAATTACAGACCCTGCAGTCGTACGTTGTTGACGCCAACAGCCAAAGCGGCGCTTACCACGGCGAACGTTGGCACCGCCTACTCAATAACCTCAATGACAGCGAGCAATCAAATGCAAAAAAATCAAGATAATAGCCTAACTGTTCGGCGTCATTCGATTGTATAGACGGGACATGGCCAAACAACACGAAGCCGATTGCCAGCAAACGTGCAAAGGCATCACCATGTACTGCTATCACCTGTACACGAGGCAACGATAACCACTGAACCAGCAGTTACAACAACAGGGAGCTTTGACATCTTTGTCGATGCTTGGTCGTTCTAATCCCAGCCCCAATCCGAACGCCAACGACGCACGAGAAGAATAGCACGGGGCATGCCCTAGCAGCTGCAGCTTTCAGCGGCGATCGAAAACACGCCGACGGCGGTTAGAAAGGGGTCTAGCAAAGCTAGAACGTCTAACAATGATAGCTACAGTGGCGCTGTAGCAGAGCAGCGGAGACAAATGCAAACTGCAACGGAGCTGATGGCAATGTCATTGCAAATATGAAAAAAAGGTTACAACGCTTGAAGAAACGAACACATAGAATGCAGAGTGAACATACGCCGTATACGAATAGGCGTTCTCATACGCAGATATGTAAATGCTTACAAGAAACCACCGTGCTCCACCGATGACGTAGAGGGGAGCAACTCGAGCGCCCTCTGTTATTTTTATGTCTCTGACTCCTTAATGCAGAGTGATCGTTCAGCTAGCCGAGCAATCAACGTAAGTTGCCAATTGTACAAGGAAGATGGCGTGTAGAACAAGAAGCTAAGGAAGAAAACGTTAGCGGGCGGCCGCTTAATAAATAAATGATATGGTAGAGGAACGCTAACTAGCACCGTGATCAGTGAGTCTGGACATCGTCAAATGGAAATTTTGCGCTAGTTAATCATCTTCAAACTATCACAGAACAGCAGCGAGACTGATCATTTATTTGAAAACGATTTCAGCTTCTTCTTCTTCTTCTGTTCGCTCTCGATACAATCTTCGTTTAAAGAGTGCTTCAGCACGACGAAAATAGTGATCCGTATCACGATTTGTCGTTGCGGATCTTTTGTACACTGGGCACGACATAGAGCATTAGTTTTGATGAATGAATTATTTACTACGACTTACGAACATTTTAAATAAGCCAGACAAAGATGTATGACTGAAATGAAAGACAGAAGAAAATGAAAAAACTGAAAATATGAACACCTTAGATTGTAGCACGGCGTAATGCCGCATCTTGCCCTTTTTAACCCTAAACAACTATTCACATTAAAAATAGCTGCTAGAATATATATTAGAACCAAATTTTCCAGTGCGAGAGTGCGTTTATCAAACATAATCAGAGCATCCTGGAATTGGATTCTATGTCACATCATATATATGTATATATGTTTTTCAAACAATAATTTAATAAAACAGCTAATAAATCATACAATAAACGCTTTCTCATTGCTCGTGCCACTAATACCATACCTCTTCACGTACGAAACCTTAATAACCTACGAGAGCCTAGTAACCCTTTTTAGGGTTAAGTAATTCCAAATGGTTCTCATTTGTAACCTAAAGTAACCTGTTCGTATCTTCGGTTACAGATGTGGCAAGACATCGAAAGCGTATTGCTTGGGGACGGCGGCCAGTCGACCCATGAAGCTCGACAGCAGCGGCTTGCCGCTCAGCAAAACCTTCGCAATATGCTTAGCTCGTATAATCAAGGTTCAGTATCGGAACGTGTCGTCTATGCAACGCCAACCTCATCGTCGAACAGCATTCACTCACCCTCGTCCGACAAAAACATCAAAATTGAGTTCTTCACCGCGACACATCCGCCCCATCCCGAACCTGCACACCCTCAACCACCGGGACCTCCTGAAGCGTTGGCCTACCCGACTTCAGCACCATACCCTCATCGGTATCATCATACCCATCATTCGCATGGGATAGTCCAACCACCTCAGCATCACACAGCGGCTCACCTACCAACAACGTTGGAATCACACCATCTTGATCATCATCACCCCGAATCCAACGGTAGCGTGAAGTCTGAACCTGATCGAAGTTCCTCAGTGGCGCTAGCAGCAGCAACCGCAGCAGGAACAGCTGCTGGCCCAAGAGCATACCACCACTCACCGAGTCCGACCAGTCCCGATTATTACCAGCACCAATGGGGCTTTTATAGTGGGCCATCGGACGAATCTACAGCGAATCCCGACCAGCATCCAAGTGGAAGCGGGGGCGGAAATAATTCTTACCCGTTAGTTCATGGCCTGAATCGATTCTACCGACCGCAACGACCTTATGCCCCAGTTGGGGGACGAATCCCTTCACCACATCTTCGGCAGGACATACCGCAGACGATTATTCCCGATCAGCTCGAGCCACCGTTGTACGGCATGGCGCACATGTCCATGGGAGCTATGGGTCCTATCGGGGCATTACCTGGTTCGCCAAAGGTTACAGGAAAACGGGGTCGAAGAAGTCGGAACGGCCCCAAAAAGATCACCATCCATACATGTAGCTATCAAGGTTGCATGAAGACATACTCGAAAAGTTCTCACCTCAAGGCGCACCTTCGTACTCACACCGGCGAAAAACCGTACATGTGCAATTGGAAGGGCTGCGGTTGGAAGTTTGCTCGCTCGGACGAGCTGACCCGACATTACCGAAAGCACACAGGAGATCGGCCATTTCAGTGTCGGCTCTGTGAACGGGCCTTTTCGAGATCAGACCATTTGTCTTTGCATATGAAGCGACACACGGAAATGATGTGATTGCACAAAATTATTATACAACGCAGCAAATCCAGTAGAGATCAGTCGCCATCGAGGATTATTCCAAGCTGGCGGCTGCTAGGCCTTTGACAACATCGCTGTGTATATATAGCGGGAGGTCGTGTCGATCGGTTCGGGTGGCGTCTACAGCCTTTCATGGAAACGATGCTAAATGCGTCATACAACTCTGAAAAAGGTGATATATTTGACTTAATATTTTGGGTTTTTTTTTTTAAATATTACAATCTCGCCATTTTACATAAGTGGGGTTTGCATTTAGGCTATAATAATAATAAGGAGAAGAAGAAGAAAAGATGTATCGATTACTGCTAAATATATAATGAAGCTAATAAATTTGAGCCTTATAAAGGAGCGTTCGAGCCTTCTAGACCACAACCAATTTCAAACTGCAGATAAAAAAATGTCAGCGCACAGTACCTATCATGAGGTATAATAAGTGTTGTCTTCTAATTTACTTGCCCTTTAAAAACATATAAATTTTTAATTAATCGCTGCGTCTTTACATGTAGCGCTGTGTCAAATTTGTCAAAGTACACCGATTTTTTGCCGATGAAGAAGTTTTTTTTTCATTGCATGCCATCGTAAATTGTCTCCATGTTTGAATAGAACACTGAAACTCTCCAGTCTGAAACTCTGAGAACTTAAACACAAAAAATGGACATCTCAATTGTAAAACGTGTCCATTGACGATATCCGCAGATTTCTAGGAGCAAATATGTTAATAATTACGCTAGAAAAAAAAAAAGAAAAAAAAACTATTCTGTCGGCTAAAAAAACAATGTTAAAGCAGTGAAAAACAAAGTTTATGTTTTTTTGCATTATTCAATTTTGGTACTTGTCTATTTCCTTTCGAAGGAAACCACCGCCATTATCTATATCAAGTTATCGACGTTAAAAAGATCGATTCGTTCGATTGCTATAAAAGTACGAGATATAAACGCTTTAGAACCGTCTGTTTCTCTACGACGAGAAGGACGACGACGATAGGCCAAATAAATGGCCGATCAGGGCGAGCAAACGCCAAGAGACGTGAAAGCGCAAGCATGGAATTGTCGCTTCTGTTGTATCGCGTTAGAAATTCGGGCAAAGCGCTACCAAGGCTCGCATAGGAGCGCCGATGGAAATGTAGTAGAATGAGACATTTTCTATTTGCCCCAAAGCTTTCTGCTGCGCCAGTCCAAACAGGACGTACAGCGCAGCACAAGGACAGCACTGGCGATGAAAAAGGGAAGTAGTCAAGTATTTACGTGACAACTAAATATAATATTAAGGCCCTGTACTCTCTGATGCGTCCGCCGCAACAGCAGCTATGTCAGTGACTGCGCCAAAAGGGACGGAGTTAGCATCCCGTCTTCTCGATGTCGATGAGCACTTCGCCAGGTCATAAAGATCTTACTCTGCTGGCAGACGGGGTTGCTGGCGGCAGCTCCATAGGAGAGTGAGTCGGATAGTGAGCCAGGTACTCCAGCAGCATTTGCCTAGTCGGTGCAGTTAGCCACGTAGCTTTGCAGATAGGGGCAAGCAAATGTGGACCGCCCCACCGACCGATCAGCGAGGTCGAAGATGGCAGCTCAAGCCTCCTATTGTTGATGTGGCGACAGCGACTGACTCTGCTGCAGGGTGTCAGCGAAAGCCTGCTGTTTGGGGGGTCGGATGGTGTCTAGCCGGTGCTGTTAAGAGCAGAGCAGATGAGGCTAGGGGGTTCCGCAAAGCGAAAGGATCCGTAGGGATCATCTGGGTGAGTGTACAGCGACGGTACAATGACTAGGGGATAAGTGGCGGCAGAACCCGACCGTTCACCGGCACCGGGCACTTCGTTAAGATGACGGGTCCAGGGGAGGAAGAGAAACACATTGCCGTTCAGCCCTGGTAATGTCTGCTAGCTACACGCACTCTGACGTACGCGCACACTCGTGATTTCCCCTTCTCTTCAAATGGGGACAAGGAAGACCTTCGAAGCCTCCCACTTCAGCAGGCGGCGGCGGCAGCAGCAGTAGGAACGAGAGCATGAACCCGTGCCGTCGTTGTCCTCTCCCTATCAGACTTGTCGATACCCCACTGCCTTACAACGACGCGCGGCGAGCTGATCGAAGGGCATCGGCTATTTCTTTGCCCACCAGATAGCACCGTTTCGTTCGTTCGTTCGTTCGTTCCTCTCTCTCACTCTTTTATTCTTTCTCTTTCGGTTGATTCACTACCCCTACGAGCAGTAGTAGCGGCGACGGACTCCACCCATGCCCTACTGAAACTCCCGAAGGATGTTTTGGGCGCGGGCAGCAGCGCTTATTATATGAGGGCTGCTGATTTTAGGGAACTAAGGGGCCGAAGCTATGAAAGCACGGGCCGCGGGCGGAGGGAGCGCGCTAACAAAGACTGGGAAAGGGGCGGACTTAAAAAGTAGAAATCAATTTGGTTCTCCCAGAGCCCGCGGCCGCGGCCTTCGCCGACGCCGGCATCGACATAACGGGCGAAAAAAGAACGAAGTTGTGCCCCACTCCCGACGTCGACTAAAGGCTCGTTGCTGCTAAGGTCGCTGCTGCTAGCTTTGCGCTGCCCTTGCCTAAGGCTCAACGCTCAGCAAATGAAGAGGTACGCGACTGATGCGAATCACAAAAAAAAAATTGGGAGGCAGAGAGAACAATAAAATGTAAGAAAGAAAGACAAGACAGAAACAACGATCGAAAAATAGAAAAAAAATGCAATGATCTGATAAATGAGGCAACTGTTTGAGGCGAGTTCACAATCTAGAAGATGTCGATAACCCGAGTTTGCCCGACACCCAGAAAACCATAGTTAAGGTAAATGGCAAAGCTAGCTACAAATCATAATTGTCATGCTTTTTTTTCGCAATCATCGACTCCACGAGCATCCGATGATCCATTGGAACGAATCTTGCTGGAACAAGTTTACGTTTGTTGCATTTTAGCTAATACTAGTCGACATATTTAATTAATGAGTAAATTAGCTTATTGCCAGCTAAAAATTTCTCTTAACTATTTGCTATTGAGAGTCGGCATTTTCGACTATTTACGCACAGATTTATATATACAGCCCACGAACCCACGCAACCGCATTCATACCCACCGTTAATTCGAGTGACGCCTACTCGTAGGCGGGCGAACCATCGACCAAGTTAAACGTTCCGGCATTTTGTCCGCCTTATGTTCGTTATATACTATTTTTAGGGCCCATAATAATAATAATACTTGAATGGATAAATTTAGATTTTTGCTCGTCGAATTTGACTGATATGTAACAATCCATCTATAGGACATGTCGGTGCGCCTGAGACCGCAGCAGAGGGATTCATGAAGTCGACTTTATGGTCAGCCATATGATCGGAGCGTCCATTATTTATGTCAATGTCAGCCCGTTATACGATACGCTCCCTATGATCCGTTGGCCTCTCGCGGTTCTATAGAATACGAATGTACCCCCACTGAACATTTTCGTATAGTCCAAAAACGAGCACAAACTGGACATGAGAAAACGCTGTAGAAGTTATCGTAAGAAAAAGAAAAGTAATTATTTTTCTTATTATCGATTTAAACCGATTTAGATGGTTCATACGTCAAGTAAATGAGGTAGAGTCAAGTTCCATCAGGCAGACTGCTGGCTCCCGACCATCGCGAAACGAAACGCGTGTCTCTGAATGGACCTACTCTACGATGTATCAGCAGACAAATTCGTCACCCACTACGCTCTCACGGTGACAAACGGCGTGTAGCTAGCGGCGATGAGGCATCGGAAGCTTTTTGTGTCCACCTGCAAAAGCCCACTTATCGATATTGTCAGATTTTTCTATTAGTCAGCAGGGTTAACTGGCTGTGATAGCGTATATAGTACACCACATGAAATCAACTGATTTGGCATGAATCAATTTAACTGGGTCGTGTGAGCCTAGTGGGAGGGCCGACTTCACGATGCAGGGCGAAGCAGCTCGAAAAACAAAAAGCGAGCCGGCACTGTTTCGAATTGCAGACAACACTGAACAAATTGCGAATTGGCGAGTGGTACAAATATCATCACTGGCAATGCGCTACATCGATTTTTCACTATCTACAAAAGACACGCTTAACCACAACCGCTAAGGCTATCTTGTGTCTTGTATGGCTACCTGTCTCGGTAGGCCGCAAAACAATAAATGACCTTCAACATTCACGATCGTCGTGATCTGGGTGCTTTGAAGGCGGGCATTTGCTTATCTGTCAAAATGGAGTTAACTCCGTCTATGACAACAAACGACACAACTTTTAGACAATAAAGAGAATAGAACACAGTTTTCATATTTACTGAGCGCTTGGGTCTTTTTTGCACGCTCAATGGCGGGTGTCACAGACCTGCGGCGCTGACGGGGCTCGGTGCGACCGATCTGTCAGGCGTGGGGTCCGTGCATGCTTTTGAGACTTTGTATAGCATTCGATTAACTCTGAGGCAGCAAGCAACCCGCCTTCATCAGAGCATCTGCTTCAATCCAGTCGCGCGTCAATAGAAGCGATAGCATCTCAACAGGCAAAAGATTAGAACGAAGAGCCTCGGTAACGGGAGAAGCCAACGTTTGGATCGTTCTTCGTCGAGGGCTTCCGGTAGTGGAAGCTTACGCGCGGCTGTAAGCGGCCCGCTAGCGCGAAACGATGGGAAATCAAAAGTTCGGTTCTGACTGATTTCAGCTAACTATGTTGTCCATTTCAATAGCGTTGATGCGCCCAGCCAGCAACGACCATGTGTCCCAAGCCTGTCACATATTTCGCATCGGTTCGTCCAAGTTTCAACAACCATTCTAACACATTGTTAACCATTTGTATATTAGCTGTCTACCTTGAGACTACACCGAGTTGTATCAACCAAATCAGCGAAGACAATATATTTTGTATTTCATTGACCTTGTTTGCCCCACTGCAGGCAAACAGGTAGCTACCTATCTTCAGCCAGTGCTCCGTCATCGCTGTCGGTTAGCGAGCGGTAAACTGGGAAAGATCTCCAGGCCTACTTTCCACCCGACAGTTTTCTTAAAGTGTTCTCCTAGCGTTTCGTGTAGCGAGTCACGTACGACAAATTGAAACAGTGTCGGAGCTGATTAAGCTGGCCTCGACCAATGAAGTAACACTGGCCGCAATAGGCCGCTAATCCGTAGCGATTCGGACGACCGGAAGATCGTCAACGTCGGCAACTTTTCACTATTCAGCTTCCTATAAAAAAAAAAAAAAAAAAAACAGCTTGTTTCTTTCAACGTTTCAATATGATAATCTGGTTGAATAAGGATCTTAAGCTTGCACTATAATCTCACGAACTTTTCCATAATTACGAATCCACAATCTGTTCGATGCTTACCTCAATTATTTGCAGAGCTTACTGAATTTATTAAGTCTGTCGGTATAATGAGATGACACTATAATCTTATGACTTTTCTTTATTAACTTAGTTCAACGCTATTTTTCAGTAAGGTCATATCTATTTCTAGCTCGCCATTTTTACTGAGAGTTTTTCTAATCAATCTGCTGCTGATTTCAGGTTCGCCAGCTGAGAACATGGAAGGTGTAGAACGTAAGATCAAAACTACCTCAGCCATCGATTTACAGATCAACTCATGTATACTGATTTCATTAGCGGATTTCCTAAACATCTAATGATATCCTATTGGGTGGTGTGAGAGCGGCTTTTGCAAACAAGCGTTAAATAGTTAACCTAAGCGTAGTGGTGGTCGAAAATAACTGAACCTAATGTTACCTATGTTAATGGTAACTTAATAGAACTATGTTACCAAACACGCGTTCGTCCACTCACTATA